TAGGTCTGAGGTAATCCACAGGGAAGAGTAGATGATCTCCGAAAAGTCAAACGAAGCATTTTGGCCAGTTAGTAGTTTTTTTGGCGTGAACGTGCGATTCAAGATCTACCTGATCATGAATCGCCCAGAGGTAGCCTAACTGATTCTTAAACATTTATGGTTTATATACTTATATGTTAGGTTAGCATTCTCAGCATGTGAAACATTTGTCTAAACATTTGTCACTGAAGAAGCGTGTTTTGAAGAAGTTTCTGAGGATCAGTTATGTACATATGGGCATCAAACGCTTCAAATTCACTTATTCTGACAGAGGAACTATTCACTGATGACATCGACCCGCCTTCCAATCGCTGAGTTTCCACATTCAGAATGGTTTAATTTTTCATTTGTATTTTGCTGTGTTTAGTTATTCTGCATGGATCTGTGTATGCAGTCCTTTGGCGTCTCCCTGTGGTCTTGTTTGGTATGGCAGGTTGACTTGTGCTTATTTGTTAAAGGGGTCATATGATGCAATTTCAAGTTTTCCTTTCTCTTTGGAGTGTTACAAGCTGATTGATCGCTGAGTTTCCACATTCAGAATGGTTTAATTTTTCATTTGTATTTTGCTGTGTTTAGTTATTCTGCATGGATCTGTGTATGCAGTCCTTTGGCGTCTCCCTGTGGCCTTGTTTGGTATGGCTGGTTGACTTGTGCTTATTTGTTAAAGTTACTGTATAATTAAGGTTTACGTACTTTTAAGTAGCTACTTTTAAATTGTAAAGAATATCTGAAGTGACATTTTTGCAAAGTATGTATTGATTTGGAGAGGAGGGGGGGCTTGGAGTAAAAAAGGTTGAGAACCACTGTCTTAGACAAATGTTTCACATGCTGAGAATGCTAACCTAACATATAGGTATATAAACCATAAATGTTTAAGAATCACTTAGGCTACCTCTGGGCGATTCATGATCGGGTAGATCTTGAACTACATGCTAACCCCAGAAAACTACTAATTGACCAAAATGCTTCGTTTGACTTTTCGGAGATCATCTACTCTTCCCTGTGGATTACCTCTGACCTACTTTGTATATGATCTGAATTTCTGCATATTGAATATTAAAATATTGAATTTGATGTTCCAAATTTCATCTTCATCTTGAAAACTTGAAGCTGTATTTTTAAAAACTGTATATTTGCCATCTAAGATTTCAGAACAAAAAATTTGCTGTTTGAAAATACATGTCTTTAAAACTCTGCCATAAAAAATTCAGTTGTGTTAAATTTCAAATGTTTAATATTCAAGTAAAAAAAAAAAAATCAAATTCAGAACTATGTTAAATGCCACATAATATTCA